CTTTTGTTTTATTGTCCATTAAACACACTTCCCTTTAGTTTTCCTTTCGTCCTTCTCCATGACCTGTGTCTTTCTGTCTGTTGCACCAATCACTTGGAGGGTTAGCAACAATGTGCTGCTAAATATGCTGAGATAATTGGATTAAAATAAGATGAAAATAAAAACTGGAATTTCAGCCCGAATGAATTGATGATTGATGTAACAGTGTGCCATTCATATACTTTTTGAAAAATATTTCTATTTAATTAGGCCACAAGGATGTTTACTAAGTTCCTAAGCAAAAAAGAAAATAAATATAAGCATTTATAAATAAAAGCATTGTGAGATAATATGAATATTTAAAAATATAAATATTTAAATACTATTATTTAAATAAAAATATTATAAAAATAATATTATAATAGTTAAAAAAAACTCATAAAAATATGAAACTTATAACAGCTGCAAAAAAAGTCACAGAGCAAAGGATATTTTTTAAACTACTACCTTAGTTCAGTTTTCAGATGTTGCATTTTAAGGAACAAACATAAAAAAAACTAGGCTTCTAATAATTATTCTTCAGTTATCTGTGAGGAAGAGGAAGCTTTACTTCTTCTATCTTTTACCACTTTCTTCTTTGAGCTACAATGTCAGATGGCGTCCTTTGATTTGTATGACTACAATCTGTTCAACGGAAATTGTTTTCAAAACTCAAGCATACTCCAGTTTGTACGGCCTATAAATATATCTGGGTGAGGAAAGTCACTGCCATTAAATATATATAGAAAGTGTATTGTCTGTCCACAGGTTCGGTCATATTTGTCCTGCTCAGCGTCCTTGAAAATGTTGACGCCATCAGAGGAGAGGAGACATATACGGCGGTGTTTAATGAATAACTTCATCTTAATATTCACTCCTCCATCAGTCTCTCTGAATCCCTGATTCTCCGTCACAGCAGGAGATGGTTGATAATGAGGCGTGGTGTTGTCAGAATTACAGTCTGTGCTCATCCATCCCAGCTGCTTAGTAAGGAACCTGCTTCACCACTGTCTGCTACTTATACCAACACACACACACACCCACAAGGTCATGAACACACAGATGTCAAGAGTGCGTGTTCGGACTAGAGCGCACACACACGTGCGCATGCTGGAAACACAACGCTCAGAAAATCTGGGCTGAATTACAGATGACCTTTGTCTGTCAGAGACGGTTATTATCACTATCAAACGAGAGATTCAATCTGCTGTGGTAACGTCAGGGCAGAAGTGTCCTTCCTCAGGGTACACCTCATGACCAGCCACGATTCCACTTCCTGTTCCTATTTCCTTCAAACCCTCTCTCTGACTCACTGTCCTCCTTTTAAACAATCACCTCTTCCTAACCTCTCTATTCTGAGCCGGCTCAGACTTTGTCTCTATCTGTC